AGTTCAAACTGTTTAGCCATAAACATGATCTCCAGTTGTGTCTATTTACCTACAGGAACCTTGAGATAATTTTACTTTCTAGCTGGGTAGCTCTCCACTGCATGAAAATATCATATCTTTCTTATCCATTCTGCAGTTGATGGGCAAATTACACTTGCTTTTTTTTTTTTCAGTTTTTTGGTCTCCTGTCACATAGAACAATTGTTTTTTCTCCTTTCATTTTTAGTCTGTGAATCTCCTTTCCAGTTAGATGTGTTTTTTGTTTACAGTATATTGATGGATCTTGTTTCTTGATCCACTCTTCCTGTGTTTCTTTTTATTGCTGACCTGAGGCCATCTACACCAACAGTTACAACCAGCATACATTTGTTTGTCTCTGCCCTGTTATTCTCCTGTTGTTGGCCCTCCACTTTTGCTCTTCATTCATTTTCATTTCTTGGTTGGTGATCCTCCTCTGCTGCTGTTCCTGGAACAATGGTCATCTTTATCTCTCTCTAGAATATTCTTTAACACTCTCTGTAAGGTTGGTTTGTTAGTCATGAATTCCTTCAGTTGTTCTTTATCATAGAAGTATCTTATTTTTCCATCAATTTTGAAAGATAGTTTTTCTGGGTAGATCAGTCTGGGTTGGAAGTTGTTTCCTTTCAGGGTTTGAAACACTTCACTCCAAACTCTTCTTGACTGGATGGTTTGTGTTAATAAGTCTACTGTGATTCTGATTGGTTTTCCTTTACAGGGGATCTGTCTCTTTTCTCTAATAGCTTTTAATTCTGTTCTTGCACTGAAATTCTGGGATCTTGATTATTACATGTCTAGGTATAGATTTACTTTGGTTATGGCTAGTTGGAGTCCTATATGCCTCACTTATCTGCATGCCAGATCCATTTCCCATGTTTGGGAAGTTTTCTTCTATTACTTCTGTGGATATCCTTTTAATTTCATTTGTGTTGAGCCCTGCTTCTTCACCTATACCTATCACTCTTAATTTATGCTTCTTTGCATCATCTTGCAGCTGTTGGGTTGTTATTCCCTGATTCTATGTTATTTTTAAGATTGTTCCTTTCATGATTACTAGCTGCAATCTTGTCTTCAAGGTTTGAAAGTCTATTTTCAGTCTCTTTCATGCAATTTTGCCAGCTTTCTTCAAATCTATTTCATGCATTGTAATTCCTTTCTACATTCATTCAAGGTTTCCATTATTTTCCTATGCTCCTCTTTATTGTTGGTCTTCTTTAGACCTGCTGAGCAATTCTTTCAGCATATTTGTGATTCTTCTTTTACCTGAGACATTATTTCTAATTTGACTGCTTTTACAGTCTCATGAAGTTGTTTCTTTACTTTAGTTGCTATCCTCTCAGAGATTTCAGGTGTGTGACTTTCGTTTTCTTTCATGACCATATCTCCCTGACTTATTGTGTGTGGGCTAGAGGTCTGAGTTTGCTTTTGCTCCTTCATCCCGACATTTTCCTGAATTCCTCCCAGCAATCTGGTTGTGGGGTCTCAGACGCTTCCCATGTTGGCTGCCCCTAAGCAGTGTAGGGAAGGGGCTGGGTATTTAGCTCAGTGGCATAAGCACCTGCCTTGCAAGCAGGTGGTCGTGAGTTCGATCCCTGGTACCAATAAAAAATGAAAAAGACAAGAAAAAAAAAACCAAACAAACAACAACAACAACAAAAACAAAGCAGTGTAGGGGGATGGGATAAGCATTTGTGTTCCTCTAATTCCAGATTTACAGGGAGGTAGTAGGGTATGGAGGGGGCTTCTCCAGAGCTATGCAGCTACACTGGGTCTTCACTGATGATCAGGGGTACATGTAGGTGGGGTTGCTTCTTTCAGCCTGTCTGTCTGTACTGGGACTCCCATGATACTGACTGTCAAGGTTTATGTCTGTGGCCCCCAGGCCTCATGAGTTTGCATTGTGCATTTGTGATGGTTCATTGTCTACTACTTGGATTGATGGTGTCAGTGCTCCACCCAAATAGAGGTGGAACCAGGATGTGATGTAATGGCGGGAAGAAGGTGTGTCTTGCTCTTTTGCTGGTTCCTGCTTGCTGTTTGCAGCCGCCATGAACTGCGGCCCAGCCATGCCTGCCTGCCTTGGAGCCAACTGAGTGTGGACTGAAACCTCCAAAAACTGTAAGAAATAAACGTTTCCTTTCCCAACTTGGGCTTTAGGTATTTTGTCTCAGCAACGAGTAAAAAGTAACTAAGATACTGACAGACACACAAGGGTGTGTTTGTCTGATTCTGCTAGTGGATGATGGCTGTTTGAAGGGACGAAGGGCCTCCAATGGTGGCCTACAGAAGCCCAATGCTTACCTGGCTGAGTGTCTCTGCTCCTGCTGGCTAACTGCAGGAAGGAGTCTTCTGATGGCAGCTCCCTGAAAGTGAAGGTGAATCTGCTGGTTCTTTCTGCTCACACTGGCTGCCTATAGGACGTGGCCTTATGGTGGCAGCACACAGCCGGCAGAGGTGGATCTGTCTGTCTTATTTGGCCTGAACTGGGCATGCGGAGGAAAGGGCCTTCTGGTGGTGGCCCCCAGTGGGCAAAGATGGTTCTCCTTCTGGTCTCTCTGCCTGTGCTGGGTATATGGAGGAAAAGGCCTTCCAGCGGTGGCTCCCTGAAGGTAGAGCCCAACTAAATTATTTACTTGTGCCTAAAATGAGCTTTTTATCTTTGACCCCATTGTCTGTTGACCAGAAAATAGATCTTTTATTTTTTTGATCTAAGCTTTGTTGCTTACAAAAGGAGATGAAAAAAGTGATCTACTTTTACTAAGAGGGACAAGTAAACAACTGTAGGATGTGGAACCCTTTCCAACCATTTATGGGAAGGAGTGTGTTTACTGAGCCCTGAGAGAATGGAGGCCATGTGTTGGGGGAAATTATGGTCCTAATGCAATGGTTGCATACGGTGACTATACAAAGTCAAAGAGAAACATTTAATGCATTGAGGCCTTCTTGTGCTTGTTATGATAAGAAGGGAGTTTATTTTTTAAATTGAAATTGCATCAACCACTTTCCAAATTTCAGTTCCAGTTCTTGCTTGTATGCTGATTCGTTTCTTGGGGAATAGACTCATGAGAGTCATTTGGTTTTTAGGGCTGTGATTTGGAAACTTAGAGTTGTAGTGTAATCTTCCTAATAACTAGAGTGGGTTATAATCTAAAACAATCTTAGATTAAAATCTCAGTTTTTCTTACAGTAGTATATTTATGGTTTATCTCTGGATGAGCCCTCTGACTTATAAATATTTGCCTTTGCAGTTGCCATGTGGGTTTGGATAAAATTGTACTTATGTAGTGAGGAGCCTTCTAAGACTGATATCTTTGACCACTTTCTCCTGGAATTTTCTGTTTCAAATCCCTTCCTCTTGAGTGTAGACTGGATAAAGTGATTCCTTGGTAACAAAGAGAAAATAGCAGAAGTGTCAGAATATTAGGCTGCAGCTGTGACTTTTGATTTGCTGTCATTCTTTCCCACTCTCATTCTCCTTCACTCTTTTTCCCTTCTTTACTCTGTTGAAGTCAGCTGCCATGTTGTGAACTGCCCTAAGAAAAAGTCTGTGTGATCACGAACTGAGGACGACTTCCAGGCATACGTATTGTTGAACTGAGCTCCTCAGCCCGATAGCTCTTGGGAAATGGAAGACTCCTAGCTACCACATGAATTAGCATGGAGAAAATTTCTTTCCTTGATGAGCCTTGAGATGCATGCAATTTCAGCTGACATCTTGACCAAAGTCTTGTTGCTCTTTAGCAGGATAACCAACACTTCTGGGCTCAGATTCCTGAAATCCTAAGCCAAGTAGACCATGAAATAATAGATGATTGCTAATTAAGGTGCTAAATTTTAGAGTGTTCTTTTAGGCAATGAAAGATATATGCTTTGGTAGGGATATGGTTTCAGTGTGTTTTCCAAATGGTCATATGATAAGAGCTTGTTTCCTAGTATTGAGAAGTGGTGGTGCCCCATGAAAGGAAGTTAGATTGTGAGGGCATTATCTTTTTGAAGGGATAAATAGGTATTATGGAGCTGTAATGGTTCTTAAGAGAATGAATTGTTATAGAATTAAGTTCAACTACCTCAGTTCACTTTTGTGCTGTCTTACCAATATGATCTCTTCTACAACTTTTCTGCCATTGTGATACCATCTACCCTCACCAGAGCTGAAGAGATGGCATGCATTAGCTTCAAATTGTGAGCTAAATAAACATTTTGTCTTTTAGTTTCCAGTGTTAGGTATTACAGTGCAGAAAATAGATTAAAATGATAACTAATACACATGATATTATAGTTATCACATTTGGAAGATTGCACTGAATAAGATAATTTCTAATGACTTATTTCCTGTACTTTGAGAGCAGAATATAAGCATTCTGAGAATTAATTGTTTTCTTAGGGACTTATAGAGGGACAAGATTTTGCTGTTTAAAGGTAACGAGGGGAGGATCTGTTTGTGATAAGTTCAAATACATCTAACTTTCAGTCAGTCATTTCCCTTTTTTACTAAGTAAAAAAGAGGTTTAACATTATATTCTGTTATGCATGCTGTCAAAGAATAGGGGATCAAGACAATTTTTAACCTAAGTTGCTTTTTACAAGTTTATCTATATTCTGTAGTAGAGCATTACGAATAACAAGGATAAGAAAAAATTGACTAATAAAGGTTGAGATGATTAAACGTAGCATCTCACCCTCCATACCTACGAATAAGCACCTTTGCCTCTCAAACCCAGAAAGCAATGCAAAATATTTATACATTCATCTTAGAAATGGGAAAACGAGATAATATTTGCTAATAAATGAAGTCAAATAGATGGGGCATACCTGCCTTGATATATTGTGCCTTGGGTACTGAAATCAAAGAGGGGTTCAAAAAGAATAAGAAGGAAGAAAATAGAATTGAGGAAGTAATGATAACACTTCCTCTTCTTTTGTAAGAAGTTTGTGTTCTGGTCAGCTTTTTGTGATAGTTGTGTGTGGCTGCTTGGAGCAGAATCCTCAACCTTTACTCAGAACACTATGAGTTTTCTGAATTCAGGAATAAAGAGACAGCTCTTGGATTTACTCTCTGTATGCTGCATGTAAGTACAGTCACTTCTCAGTTGATACATGAAAAGTAATTGTTTGACATATGAAGATGTATAAAAATTTATACCTAACATTCTCTTTGGACTAGTGCATTCTGAAATGTGTCTCTTGGGATGTGATATTTGCTCAACTCTTCGAAAGTCTGATGTTGTGAAGTATTGTGCTAAAAGCACTGCAATCCTGTTAAAGCTTTAAAGAAGTTGGATAAGCTCTTTTCTTTTCTTTCTTTCTTAACTGAGTGTTGTTGAACTGATAGTTGTTGGCATTGTTGATCACAGTTTGGTTTAGAAAAGCTCTATTTAGCATTTGTTTTGGTCCCAGGGTTCATATGGGGGCAACTCTATGTGGTCACACCTTTTTTTCTTTTTAGAGAAATTATGTTCAGTAGGGATAATCCCCTTTTGCTTGCAGACAACTGATGGGGAATTCTTCTCTCAAATAAAGGTCACAGGCCAGACAAAATATTCCTGGTATGAAACTGAAGGCTAGGTGGTGTTGGCATCTGAGGTTCTTGGCTTTTGGTATATGCTGAAGAATTTAACTGTACGAGCAGAGTCAGAGTCGGAATTTCTGTAAAGGTAGAAGACTTTAATTGTAAGAGTCAAAGCATCTTTGATGATACTAGTGGGTTTTATTAGTCTTTAGGGACCTATGAGTTCTGAATGCTCTCTTATGTATTATATAGTTGTATATACAGCCTAACTTTTCTACAATAATTTATTTTACATGGAATATAGAAACAGAAGATACATAGGTTTCTTTCTAGTCTTGTCATATAAGTGAGGGGGACAAGGAGTTCAAGTCTGTGCACTTGCTGATGTACTCTTTCCTTTTACCTTTTAATTGCTTTTCTTTCTTTTCTTTATATAGCAAATGTCTTTTCTCCACAAAGGTTGTGCATGAGCATTTCAGGCAAATTGCATCACGCAAATGCACATCTCCAGAGTATGGAAATAGGAAGTTCTTTCCTGCGGTAGTTTGTTGTGGCAATAAGAGATAAGAAATTACTTCATGACTGTTGCCTGAGACTTTCCTTTTGACTTGTGTGTCCTTCTTGAACAGCTCACTTCTGCTTTCCACCTGGCTTGGATGCTAGGCAGTGTGAACTGTTAGCCAAAATATGGGTTACCAATTTTCAAGTAGGTTTAATATGACAAATGCTTAACATGCTTGTGAAGAGAAACCTAAAAAAAATTTGAAGAAAATTCTGCAAATGGGGGAATTACTATACTTCATTGCTCAGAACAGTGGTTCTCACATTTGATGCCTTGATCAATTAATTGTTGAATGAATGCATGATTTGGATTGTTCATAAGAGGAGCATGTTATTATTTCCATCAACCAGGCACTTAAAGTAAATATTGGAAGAATGTGAAGTGAAGCAAGAGAGAATATGAAGATGCAGAATGAAGCCAAAATGTGCAGAAATGAGATGATTAAAAGACCCAAGTCAACAAAGTGAAAGGTGTGGCAGTATGATGTTTGATGTAAAGATGACGGTGAAGGTGATAGTGTGGACAGGGTAGAGTTGCAGATGGTGGAGGGGTAGTAAGTATGGTGGGGCAATAGAAGGAAAGGAGGTAGAAATGGTGACTGGTGGAGCTGCTGATGCACAAATGGTGATGGTGCAGATTTTGGATGTCGTGTTGGAAGCAATGGTGATAGAGTTGATGATGGGAAGGCGCTGTATGTAGTATAGACACACATGCACACTATACACACACACACACACACACACACACACACACACACACACAGTTTTGGGCCAACACATCTCTTTAAAATCTGTATCTACCATATAATAGTTCTATGATTCTTGTGCCCATAAAGTAGTGAGTTTAATATAGTTTAATATATTGATCTTTCTGGGTTGTTGTGTTTGATTAAAAATATGGTTGCCAAGTTCCTTTCATACTCTGACGATAAGCATTCACTTCAAATGGGATTGAGAAGTGGGCTTTTGGGAAAAGATGAGGAAGGGGAAGACATCACGTTCTTGAATGAGATTAGCACTGCTTTAAAAACAGTGCTCTTTCCCAGAAGCTGCAAACATAGAGAAGGTACCGTGTGTGAGGACCACATCCTCATCAGATTCTAAATAATCTGGCAACTTCATCTTGAATTTTCAGCTGCTAGAACTATGAGAAATAAACTTCTGTTGTTTATACACAACCCAGTCTATTGGCTGTAGTAACAGGAATGGAGCAAGACAAGCATTTATTAAAAATAAATGTTTACAAGCTTAGTCATTAAATTAGTTGAATAACTAGTGATATATATATGAATACTTTCAACAAAATGATATTTAATGGAAATATTATCATGATTTACTATTGTTACAAAAGCATGGACACAACTTTGCACTATGCAAAAATAACAGAGAAACAAGATTGAAGTGAAATATATTAAAATATATACAGCGAGTTTATAGCTATGGTCATTTTTATACTTGTACTTTTATGTTTTAAAAAAATTTAAAAATCAATTGTACCTACATGGCCCATTTTGATAATCTGAAAACAAAATAAATATTGAATGAAAATAAATGAACAATAATATGACTTTTTTGAAGCCCTTACTACAATAAAACAAAAGTAGTTTTTAGTGATACTGGGCTAAAGTTTATGATTCATTGCAATCTAAGAAATGACACAGCTTATGGTACTTAGTCTTTGTAGGGGGATCCCCTTTGAGATTCAGCCTGGCATAGAATCATATCAGCTCTGAAATGAGAACAAAGTATAAAGTGTCCCATCTGGAGCCATCTGGTCTGATTAATTTCTAGAATCAGATGAAAATAGGATTTCTTTCCTGAATAGTAATCTGTATAACTTTCTAGCAAGTCCAATAGTCAGCACAACAGTTTATAGTCCTACGTTGAATATAGATATCTCAGCATAAGATACTTTGTTTTATGAGACAGAGTCTTCTCTATATAACCCAGGCTGGCCTCATCATGATCCTCCTACCTTAATCTCTAGCATGCTATAATTATGGGCATGTGTTAGCACGCCTGTTTTTGTGACTCACTTCTAAAGAAAGTGTTGATATATCACTAACATTTTGGTTTAAATGAGGAGAAGTCATAAACATTGTTTTGTGGAGTCAAGAAGTAATTTCTGTAGTTAAGATCTTGGCACTGCCAATTCATAGTGTCAGCATGTCACTATGGAGACCCTTATCAGAGACGTAAGCAAATGCATTTTGGCCTGTAGTAAAGAAAGGAATTGTTTGCTTTTCTCTTAGAATATTGAATGAGAGATATTTGACAGAGAAAGAAGTGAAAGACTGCTCAAATTTTAGCAAAGACAAGTTTTCCAAATGGGCACATGTAACAAAACAGAAGGAATTAAAAGGTAAAATGTTAGCCAGTTAAAATCATCCTCAAATTACTAGAATCTCGAAATTACTAGAAATTAATAAATCTCAGAAAAAAACTAAAAAAATGACCATATCTTCTTTGAAATCAGTTGTTTAGAAACAAATGACTTAATCAATCAGACCTTAGTACAACGTGCAAAGTGAGTTGAAATAAAAAGAAAAGCACAGTAGAATTTGTAACTGATAGTTCATAGCGTATTCTGAATATTTTAGGTCTAGAGCGGAAAATTAAACAACCAATGATACCATTGAACACTTGATATGTTCTAACCAGAACATTTCTATTTGGCTACATTTAAATTTACAACTTCAGCCACCTCTCAAAGCAGTCCTGGGAAATAGTACTCTTGTCATTTCCACGAAACTCAAGCTTAGAGAAGTGAAATACCCTGATTCAAAACATTTCATGAAGTGGGGGTGGATTCTTAGTGTCGCTGACCTATTTTAAATAATACTACATTGCTTTTATTTGTACTAAATGTTTTATTACCCTTTCAGCCAAGAGTTAGGATACGAAGGGTAAGAAAGAGCAGATTAATTTTTTATTTTTGCCTTAATTGAAGTTTTTTTCTATTTCCATAATAAAGGGGTTGTGGGAGTCAAATGAGACTGAAAATGTTTTGAAGAAAGCAAAAAAATTTTATAAAAACAGTGGAGTCCTTTGTATACATCTGAGTCTCTCCCCATATACAGACTTAATTAGAATATGAGACCTTTACTGATATAAAAGGGTTAGATTAAAAGCAGCCTAGGGTGTTGTGTGTTAAATTGTGACAATCAGGTCCGGTGGCACATACTTGTAATTTTAGCACTCTGAGAGGCTGAGACAGGAGGATGGCAAGTTTGAGCCCAGCCTGCGAACTTTCCAAGACCTTATCTCAAAATTGAAAGAGAGAGACAGAGAGAGAGACAGACAGACAGACAGAGAGACAGAGAACTGCACACGTAGTTTAGTATGAAGATCTAGGTTTCATCTCCAGTAGTGAAATAAAAATATACATATATACAAATGAATAAACATTAAGTCTTATCCTTGAGTACCTCGGAATGTGTTCTTATTTGGAAACAGTTGTAATGGGTGTAATTAATTAAATTAAGATGAAGTCTTACTGCAGCAATGTGAGCTCTACTCTAGCATAACATGTCTTTATGTGAAGACAAAGATTTAAAGATGGAGACACACAGGGCGAGTACCATGTGGTGACGAAGACACATTAGAGCAATGTGGCTGCAAGCCAGGGTTCATCGCAGATTTCAGCACCGTCAGAAGCTAGAAAGAGGCCAGAAAAGGAGCTCCGCTTGCATCCCTACCAGGATTCAGAGAGATTACGGTCTCAGCAATGCAGACTGTGAAAGAATAGATTTCTCTTGCTTTTAGCCACTTAATTGTTAGTACCGTGTTATGACAGAATTAGAAACTAATTTGGGGGTTAAAGAATAAAAGTCATTTTAGTTAGTCATAAGCCCATCTACATTGCTGGCAAGCATTTCTAGGGACCAATTCCAATATGACTCATTTCTCTGACTTTAACCTGTGGCACTGGGCCTCAAACAGTAGATTCAGTTTATCCTTGAATGGGAATGAATAAGGACACTAAACAATGAAGCACAT